GATGCCTAGCCCGCGGCTCTTGGCGTTGGTGCATCGTCAGATCGTTGACAAGTGTTGGCGCCCAGTCCCCTGGAAGCTGCGCATCAGCGAGGAGCAGTACGAAAGTCGGATTGCTGAACGTCCTCACAAAGCGCCTAAGTTGGAGCAGCTGTTGGAGATCGACCATCATCCTCAAAGGGACCTCACTATCCAGCATATGTCGCGCACAGTGATGGCTGAGATTCTTGAGCTGCACTCAACAGCTATCGCTTTGTGTGATGGGGCCCACTTGCACAGCCTCCGTGATTTTAATAGGCTTTCTTGCAAAAGCTTTCGAGAAGTACGGTGCAGAAAGTGGGCTCAGGCCTCCCTCATATCGTGAGGCAATGGATGCCGATGCCAAGATCTGGGGGAGCATAGCTCCCCTAGTGAACGATGAAGGCTGGACCCTTGAGAGTGCGCTGCGCGAGGTCGTAGTTGTCCGTAATGAGATTGCAGCCCTCCTTATGCCTCGCCCTGCGATGCCGAGGATGGATCGTCTGGCTTTCCTTCGCAAAGGGTTGGGCAAGAACAAAGGCAACGGCAAAGGCAAGGGCAAGCAGCAGGGTCCTAAGGGTTCCGCCGGCAAGGGGTTGGGCCTCAAGAGCAATGGTTTCTCCATAGGTACCTTTTACCGCAAAGGACAGGACAGGCGTAACCTCTGTGTGGATTTCTTGAAGGGAACTTGTACGCGAGCCAACTGCAAGTTTGAGCATCGTTGCGGAGTATGGATGCCTGATGGCAACATGTGTCTGCAGGAGCACACTCCTGCTCAGCACAAACGTACCCCTCACTAGGGACTCGGGGGCACGCCATGCCTTGAGGACTGTGGCTCAGTTTTGGGCCCCGCGTCGTCTGTGGGGCTGGGCATGCCGTGTGAGCCCCGCTCCGATGTGGCCATTCAAAAGCTGTGTGATCTGTCAGATTCTGAGGCAGTTTGCGGGCTTGGTTCTACTAAGTCTGACAGCCCTCCTCTTAATTCGTCGTGTGTGCTGCGTGCGGCCGATGCGTCGCTTTCGCTGGAATGCGTTGGTCTGCATTCCGGTCAATCCTTCAGCGGAAGTGCGGGGAGCGCTGCCCCTTTTGCAGATGCTCAAGGGCTGAGTGATACTAGTAGGTCGGACTGAGGTTCCGCTCGGCCTGACAGCTCTCCTCCCAATTCGTCCTGTGCAGAGAAAGCGGCCGATGTGTCGCTTCCACCTGTGTGCGCTGGGTTGCACTCGGGTCAATCTTCCAGCGGAATTGCCATGAGCACTTCCACTTTTGCGGAGGGGCCTTCGGTTGAGGCCCAAGCGGATGCCATCTCCCAGCCTTCGGCAGAGGATATCATACGGTTGGTTAGTAGTTTGCCTTCTGATGTGCGTTGTAACATGGACCTGTTTTCCAATAGCCACTCCTGGCAGTCCGGAGCTTGGTCCCTTGAGGGAGGATGTGGCTTGCGTGCGAACACTCGGAAGTATCCGAGATTCACCTCGCTTGTGTGCAGGTTCATACATTCTCTCATGCCGGCGTTCGCTTTTCAAGCCTTTGCCATTTTCCAGAACATTGGATCTGAGAGGCGTGTAAACGCCAATAGCCGCCCTGGGAGTGCAAACCTAGTGATACCCTTGTCTTCCTTTGAAGAGGGCTCCATCAAGGTCCATTCTTTGCCTCCCCTCAAGTTACAGGTTGCCAAAGGCCCTGTGCTGTTGGATCCTTCCGTTCCGCATGAGGTTGAGCCTTGGACAGGGCAAAGAGTAGTTTTAGCTGCGTATAGCCCCAACAATTTTGAGATGCTTCCTCAGGTGGACAGAGACCTTTTATGTTCCCTTGGGTTTAGGCCCCCGGAATCCTCTAGTCCTTCCCGGGTGATGGGTCTGTGTTGCCCTCATGCATACGTTTCTGCAGAGCCGGATGCTGTGCCCCCAAAAGGATCTACGTGCTCGGAGCCTGCTGGCCAACCTGTGTCTGGATCTTCTGACTCCGATGTAGAGGTAATCTCGGACGAGGACAGCGGGGTGCCAGCCCTGAGTCCTGCTCTTCCTTCTAGCAACACTTTGACTTCTGACTCCGTGCCGTGTGGTCAATTTTTGCTCGACTTGTGCTCTGGAGCCGCTGCCCCATTGTCTAAGGCTGCGCAGCGCATCGGTATCGATGTCCTTCCCATTGACATTCTTGTGTGCCATTCGCATGATTTGCTGCAGGACAGTTTTTATGAATCCTTGCTTCGCCTGGCGTTTAGTGGACGCGCACGCTATGCAGCTGGATCCCCGCCGTGCTCGGAGTACTCTCTACTGAAGCAAGCTCCTGGGGGACCTAGGCCGTGTCGATCCGCTGATCACCTCGGTGGTTTTCCTGATAATTCTCCGGCGTTGCAAGCTAAGGTTGAGTCGAGTCGTACTCTAATGCAGCGGACTGTGCAAATCCTCTTAGCAGTCTACCAAGCCGGTGGACACTGTGCGCTTGAGCAGCCGCGAAATTCTTTGGCGTGGCGCGAAGATTTTGTCCAGTCTTTCATGCAGCAGATTCAAGCAGACTTGATAGTTGTTGCGGCCTGCCTATATGGCATGGACGCGTACAAGCATTGGATTTTTGCCACATCCTGGCGTGCGTTGCAAAAACTCCAGGGAATTTGCCCTCACGCCCGCGACTATCATCCTAGTTTTGTCGGGATTCAAGAGCCGGGTGGGGGATATATTTCCAGGGCCACGGCGATGTTTCCTGAATCCCTTGCTGATGCATATGTGGCTGCGCTGGCCCCGCTCTTTGACCCACTGCCCACGGGCCAGGGCAAGTGCTTGACTTTTCCTGAAGCATTGCAGACCATTCCAGTCAGGCCCTTGGATGACTTTCCTACAGCTTCCCAAGATGGTGGGGGCATCTACTCTGTGCCCGATTGGACGAGCCCGCAGCCTGGGTTCGATGATAGTTTTGCGTCTGTGCGTCATGAGCTTCGCAAGTTTTTTGCTCAGATCCGTATTTTCTCTCGTTTACGAGCCCATGTGGATGCCCCAACCTCTGAGCCTCTTTTCACTTCTGCAGAAGTGCAGCATATGCGGACGCTCTGGGAAGCATGGTTTCAAGAGCAAGGCCACTCCGAGCCTATTTCGTGGGCGGCCGCCCCTAGGCAACCGTACTCGCTTGATGCCTTGCAAGCTTTGGCCACTGTGCTAGGTGATAAGGATGTTAGTTTGTGGCCTTCTCTTAAACAGGGCGTTCCTCTGGCGTCAAAGGTGACATCCCCATGAGTCACACACTCATACCGCTTGAGAATCCTTCCTGGGATCCGCGCGACCAAGACTTTCAAATCTGCTCTGGCAATTGGCCAGGTGCTGAAGAGGCCCCTGAGTTGCTTGAAGAGTTAATTCAGGAGGAGCTTAGCGCAGGGTATTTGGAGCCTGTGCCATCCCTTGATACTGCCCAGCAGCGCTGGGACCAGGTTGCAGTAGGCAAAGCTAATGTTGTGCAGGCCGCGGGCCGCAAGCCTCGTTTAATTATCGACCCGACAATTTCGGGCGTTAATCCAGCTTGCTTCCTCCCAGAGCGGTTCACGCTTCCTACTCTGGAGGACCTTCGCAATGCAGTGCCTCTCTGTGGGTGCGGTGAAGAAATCGGTGGATTCACTTTGGACATTGCTGCTGCGCATAAGACAGTCCGGGTCAGAGAATCTGAGCGTGGACTTCTCGGTGTGTGCATACACGGCCGTTATTACTTTTATAAGGTAACCCCTTTTGGAGGCGCCTTCTCTGCCTTATGGTGGCAGCGGTTAGCTGGGTTCCTGACTCGGGTTGGTCACCGCCTTGTGTGGATCAGCCATGTTCTCATGATATATGTGGATGATGCTTTGCTGATCCAGGCTGGCTCGGTGCTTCCGTTTGGCGCCGCGCTGCTCCTGGGGCTTTGTCAGGCTTTCGGCTACCCTTTGAGTTGGAAGAAATTGCAGCTTGGGCCCGAAGTTGTGTGGATAGGGTGGCAGTTGTGTTTTCGTTCACTTGCTTTCCGGCTCCCCAACAGCAAGATCGTACGCCTCCTGCAGGCCCTGCGTGATGTCCTTGAACCGGCCAGCACTACAGTCAAGTCCCTTGAAAAGCTTATCGGCATCCTTCACTGGGTTATGCAGATGTGCCCACAGCTACGCCCGTGGCTATGCTTTCTGTACTTCGATAAAGACCGCCCTCCTGCGACCAACTTTTCTGCCAGCTTGCCAGTGTGGCAGAAAATGAGCTGCTATCTAGATGATAACATGGTTTTTCACACTAGGCCGCCGGGTACTAGCATCTCCGTGGGAGCTGTGCTTCTTGCAGCGCGGCGTCGCGCCCTCAAATCAAAAAAGGATCTTGCCATGGTCAAGTGCACCGGCAAGCGCATGTGGATGCGTGTGGCGGACCCGGGCACGCACAGACGTAGGCTCAGTCCTTCGGCGAGACAATTTGCTGAATTTTGGATGCAATGGTGTGTCAGGCCACGTCTTTATTCCCCTTTGCCTAACCCTAAGCTTAATTTTGCATCTCTAGCAGCTGCGGACGCATGCGCGCACGGGGATCACATAGGCATAGGAGGTTGGGTTCGATTCCCTGGTGAGCCCCCCATATGGTTCTCCGAGTGTTTTAAAGTTGCGGATTTTCTTGGCCTCGGCTTGCCAATGCAGGAATTGGCACAGTTAGACATCGTGTGTTACGAGACGCTGGCGCAAGTTGCACTGGTGCTGTGCTATGCCAGTGCTTGCCGAGGTGGGCGGTGTCGAGTTCGGTTACCTTCCTTGACTGATAACTCCGGGGCCGATATCGGTTGTCAACAAAGTTTTTACTACCGTGGCTCCATTGTGCTTCTTCGTGCAGAAGCTTGCTACGCAGTCGTGGACACATGCCATCACTCTGGATGCTAGTCATGTGCCAGGGGCCAAGAACGACGAGGCTGACTGGTTGAGTCGGTGGAACCAAGCAGATGAGTTACCCCTGCCTTGGGATCCCGAGTTCAGGATCCGCTGCCCTATCAGTGCCATCTGGGACTGCGACAGGGATGTTCGCTTGTTTCCGGCCGATGCTCAGCTGACGTGGTGTCCGCCCGTGTCGCCAGCCTTTGCGTGAGGTCGTCGGGTGTGGTAAATTTTGTGTGGCGTGTGGAAGGCATCTTCCGCGGCTGGCATCGTGGCGTGCCAGGCCTGCCGTGCGATTGTGTGCTGTTTGCCTGCGGAGCGCAGAAGTCTCTGTCTATTCCCCTCCGGCCTCAAGCACTTGGGTTACTTGGTGAATACAGGTCTTTTGATGTTGCGACGGAGTCGGTTGCCCGCGCGCCTTCCAGCCTGACTGGGTCTTGGTTTGCTACTTAGTGCTACCTAGACTGATAGCTTGAGTTAAGATCCTGGGAGGTGTGTCATGTCTCCAGTGATCTTTGGGATGTTCCGCTGAACGTGGGGGGGCCTTGCGGCTGTCTACGGATCATGTTGATGATGTTCGTCCCGGATGCTAGTGATTTCATATCTCCCAGCCACTGGGGAGGGTTCGGTGAATCAGGCAGGCCATGTGAAGGAAGCCTACCCACGGTGCGCGGTTGCGTTGCTTCCCCCGTGGTGCCGGGCCCTTCTAGATTGGTCTTGCATTCTCATGCAGCGTTGAGGGCCACTGCGTCTGCGCATTAGCCATCTGGCTTGCTGAGCCGTTGCTAGCTGCTTCTGCCTCACAGCAGGCGCTGCACGGGGTGATGCCCGTCTCACTTAAA